CCTGTCAAAAAAAAAAAAAAGAAAAAAAAAAGTTAAAAAAAAAAAAAAAAAGAAAGAAAGAAAGACCAGGTGGAAATGGGTTCCCAATAAAATGGAATTTAGGGACAACAAAAGTCTAAAAGGCCACAAAAGAGAAACAGCACCACCGTCATGTGAACAGTGGCTAGTTACTTGCATTTTTTGGCATGGTTAATCACTGAATCTGGGCTCTCTTCTGAATTCCACACAAAGCACGTACTGTACAATAATTTTGATTACGCTAACTGCTGGTTCCCATAAAAATACCTGCTTTCTACACACAGTTCAGGCTGAGCTACCACCAGAAACAAATCGATACAAATATATCCAGGGGCTGAACAACCTCAGTAGTGGGCGGCACTTATTTTGTAGAATTCTGCCAAATGAACTGAACAGGCCAAGGGCAAAGCAAATGAGGGAGAGTGAAGGAATGAAATATTTTAAATATTAATAACTCATTCAGACATTGTACTTTATTTTCTATAAAAGAAAATGAACATGTAGTAACACATTAATGAGTTTTATCTCCAAAGAGATTAGTGCACTGGCAAAGAATTCGGGTGACAGTGGGGAGCTGTGGACAGCAGATACCAAGAACACCCAAGTCGTGCAGACCCCACGGTAGCAATGGCCTTCACTGATCACTCCCTTTGCCGGAGGTCCAGAAGAACTTGCAGCATGATCACCCGCCAGCTGTACTTCTAGTTCTAAGCAGCAAACTTCAAGGAGCCAAAGAGGAGTTCCCACTGGACAAGGGGAACAGAGAAGAGAAACCCATTAAATGTCAACTGAGAAAACAGTAAAATGGGACAAAACCCCCATTCAAATCCCAGACATGTGGGCAAGTCCCTAAAAGTAGTTGTTAGATTAGAAATCTGGACACACCTAATTTCCTAAGAAAACACAATACATAGAAATTTCAGGGTAGTTGGAAAAATTGTCAGATGAAATGCTCAGTGAAAATCCAGCTCTCTGGCTCAAGGCTGAAACACACCTTCTATTCATCCAGGCAACAATGCCTCGTGCTTTTCAGC